GGTCTTTGCCAAACGATTCCAATATCAGCCAAAGACCGAGCAGTTGTCCATGGGAGTGAGTGAAGGAAGTGTACATGATGAGACCTTTTGGGGTGCTTGATTTGAGCAAGTTACACATGTGTACCTTTGATAGAAAATCAGAAGAGATTTGTGTACTTTTATACATGCTTGTTTTACTCAAATAAAAAAAAATACTTAGCAAAAAGGCAAGAATAAATGCTTCTCAATCTGATCATGGAAAGCATTGTTTTTGTTGTTTTTTGTATTTTTTACTGGCTTCTAGGAAATTGAAGCTGACATTAATGGTCTGTGATAATAAATATGTATATCATTACCCTTTACATATCTGTTTCTTATCCAATTCCACCTCATTTCATTTATTGTCTTTCCTTTGTCTGTTTCTACGGATGGGAATTAAAAATGTAAATGTATTGAAAGGTGCAGTTGGCTGACGATAATATACAAATATTGCCTCCTTAAGTACTTAGAGACAACCTTAATGAGTAATCTTTTTTTCCTTATTTTTCAGTTTTGTTGACAGAGATCCACATGTCTTGAGGTAAGAATGCAATAAAAAGTCATAATTAGATTTCATATTTTCTATTCGACATCTCACTGATCAATCCTCACATTGAATACTGAGAAAAGTGAAATAATCAGAATTTGCCTCTTCGAATAGCATCTTGGGTAAAGGATCCTCACCCTGGGCATGCCTTTTATACCTTGTCCTTGAAACTCTCAGAACAGTTCATCAGCCCTCTTATTCATACTACTGGTGACATATTTTTCCCCTATTTGTCATTGGATAGTGAATTCAAGGACTGGGTTCTGTCTAATACCATACAGTATAATCATAGATTATAATCTCTGGCAACTAGTTAATATTCCATATATGACTGTTGGCTGCACTGCTCTGCTCTCTGATATAAAGCATTTTTACATAATCAAAGCCTCTCAGTAAGATTTTGGGACCAATATTCTTTAAGAAGTCTGATATGACATGTATTATAGTAACATGATATAGTGGCATCAGTACTTTACAAATGAGAATGTGGTTGGATGGATTGCTTTTCTGGTAAGACCATATTATTTATAGTTCCATGACTTTAAGCCTCCTCTTTTCTTTTCTTTCTTTGTTTCTTTTTTTTTTAAGATCATAGTATATTATCAGTAGTGTTTGTAATATCACTGAGTGTCTTCTGGAAATCCTTCAAAACACTCAGTGCAATTTAATGGTATATTTCAAAATAATGAAAGAAGACACTAAACAATGAGTTAAGTCTCAAAATTCATCATTTCCCAAGCCAGAAAGAAGAGTTAAATGACCTTCTGCGTTGTTTATTCCGCTCTTCCATTAGCTAAATCGCCAGAAAATGGGGTGCTATCTAGTGCTTAGTCTGACAAGTAAGTGTAGATTATCAATTGCTTCTGAAACAGAGCACTTGGGCTTCAACTAGATTAAGAAATGTTACCATTTGTCAAAAATTATATAGAAACCATTGTTTTATATTACAAACTCAGTGCTTTGAAAACCAGTGGTGGACATTATCTTTCGACATCTATAGAAAGCACGTAACTCCATATAAATCTTTTTAAACACTGTAGCAGATAGACACTGCTATAGCACAGAATGTTTGGCTATACTTACAGTAAAAACTCTAAGTTATTTATGTTATCCTTATTGTTTGGAAAGAACAGTTTCTGTTTCGAGGTGGCAGATTTTAACACTCTAGAAAATAGAAAATTTAAAAATTTAATTCTGAATTTTGTTCATTCCACTTACTGTGATGGAGGTGAGGGAATAAAAATGGGTAGGTGTTATTTTAGAGTTTTATAGGGAAATGTGAAATTATATACTATTTCAAATTATATATTATTAGTTTCTGTCCCTTCAGTTCACCCCTACCTTAAGTTATTATTTCATAGTACTTATGTACACAAATTAACATTAACTTTTGAACACTTAGTAACATTAGCCAATAACCTGTGTAAAACACTTAACTATTAACTTTTGACTTCTCTTATCTAAAAGTGTCAATAATTAGAGTACTTATCTAATGCACTTATTACAAATATTCAATAAGTTAATATAGTGTTTGTAAAAATGCTGAACATGCTGCTCATAAATAGCAGAACTGCATGAATGATAGATATTATTGTGACTGACTCAGGAACCAATATTTTATTTCAGTACAATAGATTTATAGAACATAAAAATTATAGATAAAGTAAATGAAGAGGATTATGTTAACAATGATTGCTCATGAGCAAAAATCAATAACTCAAAATCAAAAAAATTTCAATCTGGTTCCATATTTTGAGTGGTTTATTTGATTGAACACTAGTCAGTAGTTAACACTAATGGTTTAAAAACACCTATATAACACAAAAGTTAAATGTTTACTTTTAATTCTTAATTGAAAGAAATTGCTTACAAAATATTATATGTTTAACACACATACTCGCACAGACACACACACTCTGAAAAGATTATCACTTTGTCTTTGAATTTAAATGATTTTATTCGTTACCTAAACTTTCCAAAGATCCTATAATGGCTTTATTGATTTATAAACAGAAAAGCATTTTCTATAATTATAAAACTTAAATATGTTAGCAAGGGTGTGCAGAAAAGGGAATATTTGTACACTGTTAGTGAGATTGTAGACAGCCACTGTAGATAAGACTATGGAGGTTCCCAAAGAAATTAAAAGTAGAATTTATCACTTGATGCAGCAATCCCTCTTCTGAGTACATATCCAAAGGAAATAAAATCACCACTTTGTAAAGTTATTTGCACTCTCATTTTACTGCAGTATTATTCACAATAACCAAGAGATGGACACGGCTGAAGTATCTGTCAGCAAATGAATGGATAAATAAATTGTGGTGTATACCACTGTGGAATATTATTCAGCCTTAAAAAAAAAAGAGATCCTGCCATTTGCAACAATATGGATAAAACTAGAGGACATTATACTAAGTGAAATAATCCAGGCACAGAATGAAAAATACTGCATGATCTTATTTCCATGTGGCGTCTAAAAAAAAGAGTTGAATACATAGAAACAGAGGGTAGAAGGGTGGTTAGCAGGGGTGGTGGCGGGAGGGATGGGAAGACATAGGTCAAAGGGTGTGTACGGAGCTGCAGCTTTGTGGGACGAACAAACCTGCAGATCTAATGTGCAATGTGAGGACTGTAGCTAATACTAGTGTATTGTATATGGGTAATTTGCCAACAGAGTAGATTTTTAGTTACTCTTACCACAAAAGAAAAGAAAAAAGAAAGGTAACTGTATGAGATGATGGGTATGTTGATGTGTTTCAGTATAGCAATCACTTCACTATGTATATCAAACCATTATACTGTACACTTTCAATCTACACAATAAAAAGTAAATAAAAACCCCAAATAAATAAATAAATGCCCATATTTGATAGTGAACTGGCCTCAGGAAATTTACCAGAAAAAAAGTATATACTTCGGTATAATAGTCCATCTAAACTTAGTGTCTAACAAGAAATTGAGGAGTCCAGCTCCTAGCTAAAAACTTCTGCGGGACTTTTCAGTCCCAGCCGTCGGCTGTGCCAAAGGCTGTACCCGCTGACATCGCAGGGGAAGCCCACCTTCCTCGCAGCGGCTGGGTGCACAGCCAGCGCCTGCAGTCTGGGAGGGAAGTGAGTTGCCCCCGGGGCTTTCCTCAGTGCTGGCTGCGTTCTTAGGCACAGCTACGGTTCTAACCCAGCTCCCTTTGTTCAGAGGCTTCTTTGCCTAGGGCTTTCACCGAGGCCTTCCTCAGTCCTCCTGCAGAGACCAGTGTAGGAGGTGTGTAAGGAATCCTGAAGACACCTCTTCACTCTGACTCAGTATTGAGGATCCACCTGACCCTCCACAGGTACCATTCCCTGGGGACATGGGTTAGGGGGGATGTCAGGGGTGGATGCTTTCTCCAGTTCAGTCTGTATCACAGCAAGTGACTAAAGTCTTGCCTGTTCCTTTCCTACCAACTGTTTTCTTAATGGACTACTCAGCTCCACCCATCCCTCCCGTGATCAATATAATGAAGTGATTATTTGATTTTCATTTCAATGCACTCTTCTGTGCTCCTCTATACTGAAGTACTTAAATAATAAAAGGATCATTAGGAAAAGAGTTAGTAAATAATTTTTTACTTTATTTTTTTAAAAAAGATAAGAACTGAATGTCTCGCAGTTTCTCTAACCAATTATAGATTACTTTCAATGTAAGAGATGCTAACATACAGGAAGGGAGTTGAGCAGAACGAGGGGTCCTAATTATTCAAAAGCTCACTTTCTAGCGGGGAAGAAACTCCAATCCACACATATATGGAGTGCAATGCAATATTCCTATAAACAAGTGTTGTAGGAAAGCAGATCTAGGGAGATTTAAGTTGTAACTATACAGTGGTAGAAACTGCTTCTCAAAGAAACTAACATTACATTTGGGATACGAAAGATGCATGGGAGTTAACCACTAATGAGGTAGAAAGAGTAAGCAAAGGAATTTCTGGTTGAAAGCAGAATGCAAATTTTAAAAAAATTAAGCGAATGCACATGCATACATATATGTAAGCATTATCTTTTCTTTTTGTTGAACAAGTACATATGTATTAAGATATTATCTTTTTTCTTTTCTTTGACTTTTCTTCCTTGCTTCTTTCTTTTTATTTCTATCACCTCTTCTTATATGCAATGCCTAATCTTTGCCATATGCTGTCCCGGGTTTTAGAGGCACAACACTGGACAATGCAAAGGAAACCCCTGCTTTCAAAAGTCATACATTCTGCTCTTTCCCATCTTGCAAGATGGCGGGGGGGAAAAGTTGAGAAGAAGCCAGATAACCTAAAGCCAAGAAGGCTGATGCCAAGAAGGCCAATGCCAGTGGCAAAGTAAAAAAGGCTAACCTCAAGGCTAAAAAGGTTAACAAGGGGAAGCCACACTGCAGCCGAAATCCTGTTCTCGTCAGAGGAATCGGCAGATATTCCCAGTCTGCCATGCACTCTAGGAAGGCCATGCACAAGAGGAAATACTCAGTGACTAAATCCAAGGTTGAAAAGAAAAAGAAGGAGAAGGTCCTTGCCACTGTTACAAGACCAGCTGGTGGTGACAAGAATGATGGCACTCCTGTGATTAAACCTTGCAAAATGCCTAGGTACTATCCAACCGAAGACGTGGCTCGAAAGCTGTTGAGCCACGGGGCAAAAAACTGTTTAGCCAACACGTGAGAAGACTGCAAGCTAGCATCACTCCTGGGACCATCCTCATCATCCTCACCGGATGCCACAGAGGCAAGAGGGTGGTTTTCCTGAAGCAACTGGGCAGTGGCTTGTTACTTGTGACTGGACCTCTGTCCCTTAATTGAGTTCCTCTGCGAAGGACACACCAGAAATTTGTCATCACCACCACCACAAAAATTGATATCAGCAATGTGAAAATCCCTAAGCACCTCACTGATGCTTGCTTCAAGAAGCAACAGCTGCGGAAGCCCAGATACCAGGAGAGTGAGATCTTTGACACAGAAAAGGAGAAATAAGAGATTACAGAACAGCGCAAAGTGGATCAGAAAGCTGTGGACTCCCAAATTTTACCAAAAATCAAGGCAATTCCTCAGCTCCAGGGCTATCTGCTATCTCTGTTTGCCCTGACAAATGGAATTTATCCTCACAGATTGGTATTCTAAATTTTTACAAAGAACCTAATTAAATAACTGAAAGATAAAAAAACATACATTCTAGTATAAATATATTTATGTATGTATACTTATGTCTATATGCACACGTATATGTGCACATATATATGCATATATCTGTGCATATGTATGTTTTACACGCACACACAGATATAGTGTTTTTAAAAAGGTAATAGTCAAACAAAGACTTAAATTAAGGGGAAGAATACAATCTATATCTGAGAGATAACTATGCCAGAATAAAGGGAGGCAAGAACAATGGTTTTGAGGCAAGAATGTCCTTGCTGTATTTAAGTGTAGAAGGTAGTACTGTTGGAGTACCATGGAGCAGGGAAAGGGATGTCAGAGAAGGTATAACAGAGAAATAATGTCCTGGATAGAAGAGTAAGCATACTGGAATGACATAATATAATTTGTGTGTTAAGCAAGATTACTATGACTCTGTGTGGAAAATGTATTCTGAAAGAATAAAAATGAAAGCATGGCCAGCACCCAGGAGGCTGCTGTGGTAGTCCACAGTACAGCTTAGGAGGTTGAGGGTCTGTAAGAAAATGGCAGTGGCGGAGATGGTGGAATGTTTCAATTTAGAATATATATTGAAAGTCGGGACCACAGTATATTATGATAGATTGATTTTTCAGGTGTGAATCAAGGAGAGGAATTGAAATTGATTCCAACGTTTTTTGATGTGAGCAACTGGAACGTACACTTTCCATTTCTCTAATGGAGAATGCCTGGGGAGGAGCAGAATCAAAGGGCGTCTAAGAGAATGAAAAGTAAGAATTATACAGCAAGAGGGACAAGAAAAGAATTATGAATTAGGACTGTTTTATAAGTGATCTATCACAACACACTGAGAAATGTTGGCAACATGAAGGATTTTTAATTACAGACGTGCTGGAACCATAATAGTGTTTTAGAATATTATTGAAATAATAACATAAATACTGTCTTGCTAGAAAAAAAAAATGTTGCCAGATGGGAAAAAAGAGGATAAGAAACCAAAGGATGTCAGGACTTGTTTTGTGATGGAAGCTGGCAAAGTTGTGGAGAATAGGGATTATTTGTTTAATTTTTACTAACTAATTGCTACATGCAATCCCTGTGCTGTGCACTGCAAGGGCAAATGAGTTGACCGCCATATGGTTCTTCCACTCAAGAACCTTGAGTAATTTTCAAAGTTATTTGCCCCCTTAAATAAGTCATTATCATGTCTTTTACCAACAGACTTTTTCACAAGTTAAAATTCCATGTCAAAGCAAAATTTACCTGTTATTTTATACAACTGACATATGACAGTTCATAATAATAAGATACATGCATACATAGATGCATATATGTAGATACGTATGCATATATACTATACTTCAGTAAAAAATCATCCATTCAAATTTAACACATTACATAAATGAGAATGAATTCAGGTATCAAAAATCATTCAAATATATCTAAATCAAGAACTGAAATAAAGACAAGGTTTTTAAAATGTATGGAAAAGTGAGAATTAATAATATATCAGCAGACAACTTTGCCTGACAGACGAGTTAAGGTCACACAAAGGATTGCATGAGGATCTTTGACTGATAAAAAGAAGTATCTAATTTTCACGCTAGTTTTCTTAACACTAATCTTAGTGTGTTATCACACCAGGGGATTAATTAATATCCGGTAAATCAATTTGGTAAAACATGACTATTGTCTCATTCAAAATGAATTTTCTATAATTTTGTATAATTTTTGCTAGTTATATAATGTATCTGAAATACTTGTTTTGCCTTTAATGCAAAAATAGCCTAAAATGAGATTTGGCTGACTTTATATAAACAAAGCTAAATGAATCTCAGGGTGGGATGATGTCAAATGTCAAAAGAAGAAGAGCTGGCCAATAATAATATATAAAAAAATAGCTAATTTGTTAGACTTCTATGCCAATCATTATGCTAATTGTTTTGCATAGAATCTTTTATTTAACCCTCATAGCTAACCTTAGGAAATGGGCATAATTATTACCCCCATTATTCAGAAAAATATCCTGGCAATATGAGTAACTATGATATAGGATAGTTAGAAATATTTAACAGAGCTCTGTTTGGATTCTGTCACTCGGCCTCCAGTATAATTGCCCAATAAGTTTTTCAATCAAACTAAGGAGAGTACAGAGAAAATCACAGGTGCTGCCTCACAATCTAGACCACAGAATGCACATGATCCCTAGCAAAAACAGATAAGGAATCAATTATTTCATAATATACCTTACAAATAGGAAACTCCCACAAAAGTACCAGTGAAGGAGAGAGAGAGAAAAACAAAAACGAAAACAAAAAATGTTTTCCTTTCTTACATTCCTAACTTGCTTGAATTTACTGTCCTTGAGAAATTCCATGATATTTCATTTAAAGCACCATATGTATTTGATAAAGTACTAAGAAGACAAAGAGTTTGTTTTTTTTTTCCAACCTCAAACTCATCTTTCTTTGGATTAAAATTCAACTATGGTTGTTTTCTTTCAAGTAGGGGGATTATAGAGTCAAAATTTGAAAGAAAAATATACACATATAATCATAAGTTGTAATCAAAGTTTAGAAATGGTCATATTGGTTGGTTGTTTCTATAGAAAAATTATATAATTTTTCTTCCTTAAAAGGGTTTCTTTTTGTTAATAATTTCAAAATCTCTTTGAAATGGTACACATTGCAGGGTTATGGTTTTGTTTCTTGTAGAGGTCTATGAACAATGCAGCTCCTTTTCAATACTCAACCTAAATGACTTAGTTGGTAAATTGTGTGTTAGGATCATAAAAACTGCCTCAGTGTCTGCATCATCCATAAATACCAAAGCCATAAAAATACACAATTCCTAGATATATTGCACAGTACACTCCTGGTTTTCAGAGAAATTGTTGGTGCCAACACATTAGTTTAAGTGCATCCAGGGTTAATGTGCTTTGGGGATAAATAATATCATTTTGTGGCCTTTCGTAGCAATGGAATTTACTCAGAAAAACAGTGCCATCTCTACCTACTTCTCAACAACGAACAGTAACAGAAATATTAAATCTAAATACTATAACATATGAAATCACAGACATTATGTTTCTGGATATTATTGTTTAACTTTGCATTTCAGGGAAGTAGGCCAAAGAGTTTGAAACTTCATTCATAAAAAAAGTATTATGATATGCTCTGATTAGAGTCTCTTAGCAATAGTTTAAAATGTAAATTATACTTAAAAGGAAAAATTTAAAAGTATATGTGCAGACTAACATTGGAAGAGTAATCATAAGTTGCAATGTTCTAGAAATTGAACGCAAGTACACAATCTAAAGAAAACATCACGAAAGAGTCTTCAAACAGGAAGGTGATATAGGGCAATAATTTGAAATAGTGTTTGTAGAAATAAAAATACATATTACATTAATAAGTGAGAATTTGAACAATTTTTCAAATTACTTTAACTTAACTATAGCATCCATTACGCTATATTCTTTCTCACCTCAACTTATATCCATCTGCTGATACCAGTCTGCTCTTTGCCTAGCTGTAGTCTATCATGTATTTGCATAAAAGCTTGTATTTCTCCTTTATATATTTGTTATGACTGCAATTAATATTATTTGGCAATGATTTGTTTAATATTTTTCTTTCCTGCTTGCCATACACCAATGTGAACCCTGTCTGTGTTGCTACTTCATAACTGTATCCCTGATATCTGATGCACAATAGATAATGCATATTTATTATGCAGGGTGTTCTAAACAGAGAAGAGATTATATAGAGTCACAAGTAGCCCCCCAAATTGAAAATAATATAGTTAAGTAGGTCACAAGCTGAGTGGTACAACATATGAAAAAATATTAAATACTCACAAGTGCCCCGGTTTTCAGTTGTGATTTTAATATATATATATATAAGTTGGAGATAGAAGAACATGAGATAATTTTTTAATGATCTAGAGATGCAAAAATGCTTTTGAGATGCAAAAATATTTTTGATTATATATCTCTGGGCATGTTAAATCTCAACTTCTATACTATTAATAGGAAATAGTAACGACTGTCATGAGGAAATGTTCCGTTTATATCCATGAATATAAACACTTCAGATTAAAACTGTACATCTTCTGCAGTAGAAAACAAAACAAACATACAAAAAAGCACAAATGCTTACATCTTATATTTTGCTTCATGAACTCCCTGATCTTAGTGATGGATTCCAACTAAAAACCCTTATTAATATTTAAGAGGGGAAGGAAATATTTTATACTGTTTACAATTATCATAGCTACAGTATACAAGGCAAAAAGTTTGATCTATATATTTCCTTATGCTTACGGATTTTACTAAACGACTATGTTTGATTCTTTGCTTGATGATAGTCTCCTCTAGTTTACTTAACCTTCTATATACCCAATTTTGCATCCCTCTGAACTATTTTTAGGTGTCAACAATGATCTGCATAGATTTGAATCAGAACTACATCCTACAAATAGTGCTCAGGTGACTTGGGTATTCTCAAGGTAAATTGCAAATATGTTCCTAGCTAAAGTGAGCTTTAAATGGGCCTTGTAGTTGTTGTTTAAAGATAGATCTTTAAACAAGTGCCCTGGGGGTAATAACAATAATGCTACCTTCAGTGCACGGCAGGTCTTTCTTCCATGGAGCATAAAATGCCTCGCACACGCCATCAAAGCTAGGAATGTGGCCATGTAAACAACTTTCCACTCGGTGAAGATGCCACTCTACTGTGGAAAGATCATCTCTTCCATAATAAAATCCTCAGAGAATGAGGCTAAGGAGAGCAGAGAGAGAAAAATCATTTCTTTATGAGGATTTTTCTCTTTATTTTTCTGTTGCAATCTTCCATCTAAGAATCATCAAATATATCACTTTTTATCCTGGAGGTAACAGCTAATTGGCTCAAAAATTGACATATTTATGAAACTAGAGAAATGCTTGCTCTAAATGCATGTAAAGGTTTTACTCTCTCTTTTTTTTTTTTCAGAAGAGAGGAATTATAGAATGGTAGGTTTTTATAA